CCTATAAGACCTGAAAAAAACTGTTGTATTTATTTTTACCTTGTTTGTAGTCCAACACTCCAACTTATTTGGTGGTGGGTTGATTCTTTTTTAAATGCCTACTTTATTGTATAAGATTAAATGTGGAAAATATTGTTATGAGATTGGTAAAATAGTTATTGTGATACTTTTTTCTAATGAGAAATTTTAATGTCCATAACAGGATGTGGACTATTCCTGAGCCTAAAGGACTAGCACGACCAACAGCTCCAGAAGCTAATAAATTGAGTGTAGTTTCAGAGGGTTGTAATTCGAGAATCGTAAGCATCAGTTTTATTTTCTCTATTTTGTTAATTTCAATAACTATAGTGTATTTATGCAAGAAAGCTTATCTTGCAGACATGAAGCTTTTCTATGTTATCAGTAATAGACTTCATTACCCAATCTGAAATTCCTGTGTTATTGTCTACCATTCTCTATTTTTCAGTTGCAAGAGATGGAAATGAAGCGCGAAACAAAAGACATTTATAGGGAATCTTTCAAGGGTCATAATTCCGTGGAGTAAGTTATATGCTATTCAATTATATTCTAAGTCTAATTATTTTAGTTACTTTGCATGCTGAAGTTATGGGGATGTACTGAATGTAGAACTCTGGACAAGACTATTTCATATTTAGAGATGGAGTTAGCTGCTGCAAGGACAGCTCAAGAGTCTATAAAAAGTGGTGCTCCAATTCCGGAAGATATAAGAATAACTGAATCATCGGGTAAGAGAAAGTACCTGATGGTGGTAGGTATTAATACTGCATTTAGCAGCCGGAAAAGAAGAGACTCAGTTCGTGCAACCTGGATGCCACAAGGTTCATAATTTTATCTTTCTGTTATGGTTTTGATGTCATTCTGTATGCTCTTTGATTATGGTTTGAGACTTTGGTTCTTTTGCTAACAATGTAAATAGGTGATAAAAGAAAAAGGCTAGAGGAAGAGAAGGGCATTATCATGCGCTTTGTAATTGGACATAGGTAGCTAAGTTATTTCCATTCCAATGATTTGGTTACACAAATGACGATTTTATAATACCTTTATTTTAATGTACAATCTGTATTTCCCTTTCAATTAGTTGGTGTAGTTTCTTAGTTTCTGTAAAATATTATCATTGATGAAGTTCGTTGTTACTTATAGCTCATAATTATATCAATGAATTATAAATTTGACCGTCTGTTTTCTCCTTATCAAGTGCTACATCAGGGGGTATTTTAGATAGAGCCATTGAAGCAGAGGACAGAAAGCACGGAGATTTTTTGAGGCTGGTAATTAAACATATATATGATCCTTTCATTCACTGTTTCTTCCATCTCCTGATAATTGCCTGCCATATGATAAATACTACATTTATGCAGAATCATGTTGAAGGATATCTCGAGTTGTCAGCAAAGACAAAGACATACTTTGCCACTGCTGTGAACTTGTGGGATGCTGATTTCTATGTCAAAGTTGATGATGATGTTCATGTAAATATAGGTATTTAAAGTTTTACAATACTCTTCATAATCTCTAACTTTATATATAAAAACATGAGGATTTGGCATTCTGCAATTAACTTAAGCCTTTGTGATGTTGAAAATATTAACCTACAACATGCCAAACATGTGTTTATATGAAAACTTTCGGTTTTACTATGTTATTCATTCTGTTTCAGCAACATTAGGAGAAACTCTAGCTAGACACCGATCAAAATCTAGAATATACATCGGATGCATGAAATCTGGACCTGTTCTATCTCAAAAGTGAGACATAATTTTCTTTATCTTTGATTTTCTGAATGAAAGAGTTAAAATTCCTTTGCTTGTAGCTTCTTACACGCCTACTTTGTTGCACAGAGGGGTAAGGTACCATGAGCCAGAACATTGGAAGTTCGGTGAGTCAGGAAACAGGTACTTCCGTCATGCCACAGGACAGTTGTATGCCATTTCGAACGATCTCGCCTCATACATTGCAATGAACCAGTAAGTGCATTTTCATCTCACTTAGGAGGGGGGAAATGAATTCATTATAAGGCCGACCTAGTATACGAGACTCTCACCTAGTGAGATCTAGGGAGGGTAGATATATATAGTCTTACCATCGCAAGCGAAAAGATTGTTTCTACATGTGTATGTATATTCTAGGTTTCTAATATAGTTCTCTTTTCCATGTGTGTATATCTTTGTCTCAGAAATCTTCTTCACAAGTATGCGAATGAAGACGTCTCACTAGGATCTTGGTTCATTGGACTTGATGTGGAGCACATAGACGATCGGAGACTTTGCTGTGGCACTCCTCCAGGTGAATATTTTTTTATATGAACATCTTTAAATGATTTATATGACCAAAATTATTTGCTTATGAATGAACATTTTCAAATTATTGGGTCGGGGTACTCTCGCAGATTGTGAATGGAAGGCTCAAGCAGGCAACATTTGCGTTGCTTCATTTGATTGGAGCTGCAGTGGGATTTGCAGGTCTGCTGAAAGAATCAAAGAGGTACATAAGAGGTGCGGAGAAGGTGAGAATGCTTTGTGGAGTACTACTTTCTAGGAGCTAAAACTTTGGACTAGTTCTTCCTAGCTTAGGAAGATTATTACTTTACAATTACAGTGTATCATAGCCTGCAAATATATATATATATATATATATATATTTGTGAACCATAGAAAATTATCAAAGCTGAAGTGATAAAGAGAGTCTGCAATTTAAGAAGAGAATGACCAAGCTAGAAGGAAACAATGCAAGTGATAGTCTATATTTCATTCTTTGAAGCTTGAAGGGCCAATTTGTTTGTTAATATAATTTTATGACTATCAAGCTCCTAATAAATATATGTTTGTAAGAGATTGCTCTTACTTCTATGATTTCTGCCTAAATTTGAATATTTTTTTAATTGATTGAAATAACTCTCAGTAATCTCCTTATTCCAAATATTCTAGCTTATTGGAGAGCTATACCACAAGTGTATGTTACGATTTTGTTGAAAGTGAGATTTGAATCATTAACCTTCTTATCACTCAATTCCACTCTTACCACTTGATCAGCTTATATTCCTATAATGTTAACTAAATACATTTTAATTAAGAGAATGTTTGTGGATGGAGTATTATCAAATCAAAACCAGAATGGATACTGAGATAATGATATAAGGCAAACGGAATGGGTACCAACATGACACAAAAATGGAAATAGGGAGTATTGCTTTTCATTAATTTTGAGCAGTTACAAATTCATTGCAGTGAGTAGCAATAAACATGTGCCAAGACCAATATTCAATAATGCCCTGCTAGAGAATTGTACCACAATTTGTACTCAGAACATTGTTCAAGCAGGGAATCTTTTTTAAATAAAAAATTATTATTATGACATAAAATAATGTATCTTTTAATAAGCTATACTTCAGTTCTTCACTCTACAACTCTGAGGAAGCTCCAATATGTCAAATTCAGGTAAATATATATGTAAAGTAAAAGCAATTGTATAGTTATTAGAGTAAACTGTTCTAACTATTTTTTATAGTCAAATTGTATAGTTATTTTTTTATAGACAAATGTTAGTATTTTACTCTAATCACCTAACCACTCCATGATATAATGATCTTTCAGTAAATATAAGACAATTATTGAGGTAGATAATCTGGTTTAGACAATTACTGTCTCTAGATGGGTCTGTTTCACTTTTTTATGTTTTCTCACCTTACAGATTCATTCAAGGCCCTACATTCAAGTTTGTTTTATCTTTGAAGGAAGTGAATATACATAATCTAAATACATATTAATATTTTATGTATATGTATGTTTGTACATAGAGAAATAAATGTCTGATAAGTAAAATCAAACGTCCCTGTGTAAAGAATCAAAGATAATTAAATTCATTCAAGTGAAGAGACAGCTAGAATGAATACTTCAAATACTGCACAAGGCTTCCACGTCCTAACTTTAATAAATGATAATCAATGTGAGCTAAGAGAAGTAAACATTAGTGCATCCATTTTTGAAGAACAAAATGTACTTTAGATTAAACCAAAGATAAGTACACTCATTCACTTCAAATGAATAATACACATATATGTTGTCATACGGTCATCAAACCCAATATTCCATATGCTTCAACGTCTAGATTATTTCCTGATTTATATACCCATTGAAATAACAGTTTAATGGAAAATGAAGACTCAAAATTATTAGATCATGTTGTTCATAAGGATCTTCCACCAAGCCAAGACAACACAATCCAGATTGCTCATACTGTAGAGTCAGCATCAGGGTCCGGCTTGGCCACACCAACAGCAGGCCAAGCTGGCCACAGATCAGGCCAGATGACCAAGCATTCCGCACCAGAAACAGGCCAGCTAACTAGGAACGGACCAGGCCAGATGACCGAGTCTACAGCACCAGAAGCAGGCCAAGCTAGCCACACCAGAAGCAGGCCAGCAGGCCAAGCTGGCCAGGCCACACCAGAAGTTGGCCAAGCTGGCCAAGGCTAGAAGCAAGCATTCCCGGCCTTACAATCTTGAGTTACTTGAGCTTTAAGCAATCCTATTTGGAGCTTATTCATTTATTCTTTGACTTTGTAGTTTGTTATTTTAGTTAGTTAGCCACACGTTTTCATTGTAATTATAAATATAGGATTAACCATTCGATTGTAATCAAGTTTTTACATAATAATAAAAAGAAGAATTATTCATTTCATCTCTCTCAAGTTCCATCTTTGAATTCATTCAAAAATTGTTACTCACTTCAACCTCTTCTTCCAAGAGAAGGTTTATTGACATTCTTTTAAAAATCAAATACATGCCTTAAATCGACAAGGATCAGGAAAATTACTTCAAAAGAAAATTGCCAAAGCCTGATTAAAGGAAAAATAAAAACAAGACGAGAGGATGAAGAGAACGTACTTGAAAATCTTCTTGGAGTATAAAAAACAGACGTAGAATGCAAACACAAGAACCACCTTTAAGCCTTTGATAAGAAGTCTTTAGGGAAGTTAAGAGTAGTGGTACCTGATATTGGCACGGCTCAATCAAAAAGCATGACCCCAAACATTTTTGAGCATTGCTTTCTTATTGAACCGCACCAATATCTAGTTAAACCCGCCCCATTTACACCATGTTTGCCTAAAACTTCATTTCCAACCATCATGCTGCAAAGTATCAAAATAAAAATCAATGAAAACTGTTAATTCACAGATAAACAGGCTCTGCATGTTTTATTTATTTATATGGAGTAGATAGTGTTAATGTGAATAATGTACCATTCATATATATATATATATATATATATATATATAAGATAGAAGAATGAGAGTGAGAGAGATTACAGTAAGTTTTAAAGAAGGTAGTGCCCAACATGAGAGACAATGAAATATGGCTAATGGTGTTGTAGCATTGAAGAAGTTGCATTAAATTCTCAACTACCTAGCAACTAAGGAAGTTGGAATATTAATTTAAAGGAGGTACAAGAATCGTGAAAAAGGTCATAGGAGACAAATCTGTAGCTATTAATTGTGGTGTATTTATGGGTTATGTGGTTAGTGGGTGAAACAAACCCTTATCCCTCTCAATTCAATCACATTTTAATAAGTAAGATAAATATATTATTTTTTGTTTTTTTATTTATATTGTAACTTTTAATTGACTGAGATAAAGAATTGAAACAAACTTGAATACCGAAGATCTTTATTATAAAAGGAGAGGGATGTTGGTTCTGTTTAATCAGCATTTATGTATCAAACATGGAAAAGGAACCTTTGCTTTTACATGGTACTCATACCTAGAAGGATCATATGTCCCATAATTTTTCCGTCTCTCTGGCCAATCAAACTTCACAAAATAATATTAAAATATTAATTTTTGATTTTTTTATTTTTATTTTTAATTGAATGAAACCTTCTTATTGACTTAGTACACAAAGTGAGACATAAATGATCATGTAATTCCCATCCCTCATACCTAATCTCCCATGAGGCACTTCGTAGGTTCAGTGATTCCATTATATATGCATCTCTGTGGTTTAGCTTGCCTCCAATTCCTTGCTACAAATAATAATTTGGGCAATGAAACATATAGATTCTTTACTACAAATAATAATTTATGGTTTTTGCTTATTTTTGGAAAAAAAGAAGCTGAAAATATAAATTATGTATGTTTGACAACCAAATTAAGTTTATAAACTCAGTTTTTTTTCTTCTGAAAAATAAACAAAAAGTATAAGCTCCAAAATCATGGGTTGATTTATTTTTTTAGCTTATTTTTTCTTAATTTTTCTATTTCCCAATTTACCCCATCATAATTTTATCATATCCTCATTTTTTATTCTTTTACCAAACATCATAACTATTTAGATTACCGTCACCAAACTTCATAACTCTCATTTTCCTCTATCTCTATCACCATCCAACCCCATAATTCTCCATAACAATTTCATTTATCTATACACGAACAAAGAATTATGTATAAAATTTTGTTATATAATATTAAAATTTGTGAATTATGTATAAACTCAATAAACCCTAAAACTTTTTTATAAAATTATTATTTATTTTGTGAATTATGTAATTTAAGTTTAGTAACTTCCATTTATTTATGTGTTATATTATTTTTAATATTGATATTGGTTTTTATATTATATTTTATTTTAATATTTTTTAGCCTTTGTTATTATGCAATATTAAAAATCATGGGTTGTTTTATTTTTTTAGTTTATGTTTAAGTTTAACTATGTATGGGGTTATTTGTTTATGTTGATCTTATGTTATTTTTTAATATTAATATTAGTTTTTATATTATATTTTATTTTAATATATATTTTTAGCCTTTGTTATGCCATATAACAAAAGTAAAGTAAAAATATATGATGATGAATATTTAAAAATGTATATTTAATAAATAGTGTAAAAAACAACCAAATTAATCATAAGATAAACAAATAATCTCATACATTTTTTGTAATTTACTATGTAAAAAACAATATTTCTACCTTACCCTAACAAAACAGATTAGTTTATATTCAATTTTCAGCTAATGTACTCAAACATAAACAATTTTTAATCTCACGGTTTATAAACTGAAACTAAAAACTTAAACTATACCAAACGCACACCAAGTCTTCAAATTTATTTTTGACATGTAATTAGTTCTTATGTGTAACTAACTTATAAATCGATAAGAAATAAGAAAACTTAAAATGTTTATATGTGGATTGTGGAATTTGTTCGACTTCTGTATTAGCTTATGATGAATATTTTTCATTATCGAATTCTAATTGGAAACAAATACTCTGTTGATTTATAAGTTAGTACCTATAATGTATTTGGTAATGGTGTAACATACTTATTGATTTGTAACATCTAATTTAAAGATTTAAGAATCTCATCTTCCTCACTTATTTTGTTTGCAATCAAACTTTTAGTTTTTCCTTTATTTTCTTTTGTTCTAATCCAGAAGAGGAAAGTTCTTTCCCATTTTCCCTTTATTCTATTTTGTTCTAATCTTGAAGGTGAGAGTTCTTCCTAGGGGAATGTCCAATGTAACATTGGGTATACTAGACAACTCTGCATCCTACAATTGTACTATATCTCAAATTCTCAGATTCTATTTTTTTATTTTTATTTTTTGGCATTACCAATACTATCCTTCATATTTGGTAATGCATTCATTTTTTTGAGATGCGTTCCACTCGACTCCCATAAATTGAATTATTGACTTTTTTGTTGTTCTGAATTAATGGGAGCTTACACCACTTTACCAATTTCTGGTTTATATTATTTTTCTTATTTATTTATTTTGTGGATATACCTCATTTTTTGAATAAAGAACTAATTAATTTCGTGATGAATAATATACTCCAACAAACTGCATTTTAACCAGGTAAATATTTATAACTTTCCCTTCTTGAAGTTGCTATAAAAAACTATAATTTGCTTTTTAAAAGTTTTTTTAAAATTTGTTATTGTAATATTTTTTCTCTGTTGTGGATTTTATAGTGGTGTCTCGTGGAGTTGTGGGTAATAATGAAAACTGTCCAACATCTGAATTATATGTGTAAATAGTTGCACTTTGTATTTTTGAACTCATTTTTATTGTTCTACTCTGGATCAATTATAAGTAACTAAATATAGAAATAATTATTAAAAATAGTTACTAATATTTTACCAAATCATGTATATGATTAAGTAAATAATTACAAAATTACTAGTAAAGGAAAATTTATTTATTTATTTAATTACTTATTTAGTTACTTCAATTAATAATTATAATTTAATAAATAAAAAATCAATAAATAGCATGCATATTTTTAGTTATTTAACACTCTAGTTCAATAAGTTATCTATATAACAATTAGTTTCTTCACATTTTATGAGCGATTAAAAAATGAGACTGTTTGTTTATGAAAATTAAAATTATGTGTAATTTGAACATTAAAATTTGGAAACAAATATCAATTAATATTTGTAACATTTATTAAAAAATAAGGAATCCCAAAATATTAGTAATCTCTATAAGTGTACATTAATATGCTCAACTAAGAGGACCTCACACAGCTACAATCATTATAGGTTAATCACTCAGATAATGATTATTAAAATATAACAAAGTCATTATCCCAAAATAAATATAAAATAAACAATATAACCTAAAGAGTATAGATAAGAAAACATTTGGGGGCCATGTAAAAATGGACCATGCACACATGCATATGGGTCGGGCCTGTATATTATTAAAAGTATTTGACTTATGTGATAATCACATCAAAAGTCATAGTAAATATGAGATGATAAATGAGGAAATAATGTTATGTTTGTTGCCAAATTTCACAAATAAAAACATTATCTTTCATCATTGAATATTTGTTATATATTTGATCCTTTACATGTTATTAAATCACATGGTACACATGTTAAAAGCAAGATTAATTGCTCTATACCTTTTTTAGAATAGATTCACGTATTCAATTAAAAAATTATTTTCACATCATATTCATCAATTCTAAGGAAATTCAATAGTTTAGATCTACTCACTAATTCAAATCATTGAATTTTCCTATAATTAATGGTTATGATGTTATTTTTTTTTTTTGCTCTTTTGCTTTTATTATTTTTTCCATAAAAAGAAAAGAAAACATTAGTGTGCATAATATGCCAAATCTTTTTAGGCTCCTCCAAGAACCGTACCATAATGTTCCTCTGTACCTAGAACCATAGTGTTCCTATGTTCTATGCTGGAAAATTTACTGGCATGGTGTAGTTTGACTACACTATGCCAGCTTTGGTGTAGTAAAAAATTTATTTACCGCCTTAGTGTAACTTTTTGAATGTCGTGGATGGGGACCACGACATATTTGTTTGTCGCATTCCCAGTACACGACAAACTGACAGGAGTCGCATTCCTTGAATGCGAGAATCATGGGGGCTAAGTCGCATCTACGGTATGCGAGATTGGTGTCGCATTGTACGAATGCGACATCTGTTCTTCTATATAAGACATGGGCGAGCCGATACTGTATTTACAGAGAGACGAGGTATGTTTGCCGATTTTCTAGTTTTCTTCAACATTTTTTGTATTAATGTTTTTATCTTATATTTTGTTTATGCTCATATGTAGATGGTGATTATTAGAGATATTGTCAACGAATTTAGTGATGATGAAGACATTGAGCTATGTTGTGATGATGAAGAAGATTTGGAGCTTGATAGTAGTGAACTAGCTAACATAACATACGGTACTCCTTCGTCATTTTTCGTTACCATTGATTCAGATGCTGGACAAGATATCCAAAATAGAAAAAATAATTTAAGTAATGACTTTGATAATGAACTGTTTATTGGCATGCAATTTGAATCAAAGGATGCAACAATAAATGCTATAAAACAGTTTCATATTAAGAATTCTGTTGACTACATTGTTGTAGAGTCAAGACCGGATAGATATGTCGGACAGTGTAAATATTTTGGTAGTGGATGTCAATGGAGAATTAGGGCATCACTTAATGGAAAGCGAGATTTATGGGAGATTAGAAAAATTAATGGAACACACACATGTGTATCCACTAATATTTCTCAAGATCATACGAAATTAAATTCATCATTCATTGCAAA